CTTGGGCGTGTGCCCGGAATCAAATTCTGAGGTCCCAAGCCCGAGAAATGAATTTTTGAAAGAAATTGTTTTTCTGAAATTTGATATGAAAATTTAAAATGAAAAGGAGTTAGAAAATATAGATATCGGGCTCGTATTTTGGTTCTGACGCCTAGTACAAGTCTTAAATATGTGTTAAGCACTATCTGTAAAGTTTGGCTAAAAACGGACGTCATATGACGTGTTTCAGACTAAAAATGGAGAATTTGAGTTATGAAAGTTGAAGAAAGAAAATCATGTGTTTGAGGCTTGATCCTATGTATATGATGTTATTTTGGCGATTTGATCGCACGAGTAAGTCCGTAAGATGTTTTTAAGGTTGTGTGCATGTTTGGTTTGGAGCCCCGAGGGCTCGGGTGAGTTTTGAATGGGGCCCGGGAGGTCTTGGACTTAAGAAAATGCAGGTTCAGGTGTTGCAGATGCCAGTGCGGCCGCGGTCATTTCCGCGCGGTCCGCGCTGGAGCCGCGCGGCCGCGATGCCTTTCTGTGCGGTCCGCGTGGCTGAGTCTGAGGGCTAGGGTTTCAGGTCAACCAGCGCGGCCGCGCACCAAAACAGTGCGGTCCGCGCTGGAAGGGTTCAGAGAAGCCCCAATTTTTCTCCCACTCGGCGCGGCCGCAACACATTTTTGTGCGGTCCGCGCCAGGTCCTCAGAAAGGTATACAAGTTCGGAAAATCTCAGTCATTTTTCACTTTTCAAAAACCCAAAACCTAAGAGGCGATTTTCCAAACAACTTTTTTTCTCCAAAACGATTGGTAAGTGATTTCTAACTTAATTTCTTTATTCCTTAACATCTTTTAACATAATTTCAACTTCAAATCAAAGATTTTCATGGGGAAAATTGGGTGTTTTGGGTAGAACCTAGGTTTTCTACAAATTGAGAAGTTGGACCTCAATTTGGGGTCCGATTTAAAAACAAATCATATATTTGGATTCATGGGGGAATGAGTAACCGGGTTTTGGTCCGAACCTCGAGTTTCGACCACGTGGGTCCGGGGGTATTTTTGACCTTTTTGGGAAAAACCTTGAAAAATCTATTTTTCATGCATTGGGGATGATTCATTTAGTAATTATTAATGTGATTAAGTAACTTATGACTAGATTCGAGCGGATTGGTGGTGGAATCAAGAGGTAAAGCTATACTAGAAGCGTGAGTTGAGTTTGGAGCATTCGAGGTAAGTGTTTGTTCTAACTTTGGCTTGAGGGAATAGGATTAGGATAATATTTGCTACTTGCTAATGTGGAGTACGGTGTATAGGCATGGTGACGGTTATCTATGCATCGGAGTCTAGCATGACCGTGAGTCTTGATTGCTTTTAATTCAAATAATGTGACACAAACTCCTTGTTTATTTGATAAGTTTCATATAATGTGAACGGTCGAGGAAGAATGATTTAAAAGGAGAATGTGTTGTGAATACTCCCTTGCCGGGATGTGTAGACTGATATATATATTCTCCCTTGTCGGGATATTTT